AAAGGAGCATTTTGAGTTGAATCGGGTGGCGGAGGTAGGACAAGATTTTGTGCTGGAGGTGGGTGCTTATCTTCAAGAGCACTAAGGGTCTCCTGGCAGTTGACGGCGACAACATCATTACTAAACAAGAGATCGGCGGCTCCTCGGAGATCGCCATCGCTTATTTTAGACTCTATTAGCTTAACAGATTTATTAGAATTTGGAGGCCGAGAGGGAGGGATTTAGGCGGCAGTTCTCCTTTATTTTTTGTGTTAGAGAAGTACAGGTGCATTTTTTTTTATTTTTTTAATGTGTAAAATTCTAAATGTTAGAAGTTCTGCCCAGCTCTCAGAAGTGTTTACTCTTAATACGTGCTTAATACATGCTCGATGCATTGCGATAAAGAAACCGCGACTAAAGGCCGTGCAGCACGGGGGATTCTTTTTAAGAAGTGAATTTTTGATATTGCCAAGAATTTGCCAAAGTGGTTGGTTGCCCGAATTTAGAGATGGAGGAGGAGAAAGTGCTGGTACAGAGGCAGAGAATTTATGAGACCTGTCACTGTGTATTTTTTAGCCACGTTTACCTTTAAAAACCGTAGTTGTATGCACTTAGGGCACTGGATATGTTGTACGTCGTCACTGCCAGGTATTATGATTGCCGACATGCACGTAGAGATTGCGTCAAAACCAATAAATAATACTAACACTTAACTAATAAAAAGCATTCGAAAAAAATATGAACAATAAAAATAAACACAACACATAAACACATTCCATAGTCAACATTTTTGAAGATTCGATGTCACAAAGCCAGGCACCATACGTCCGTTGCTTTGCTGCCGGGTCCAGTAAAGCCACCCATTGGCTGAGCAGTATTATCAATGCCTAGCAACTGCGGCAGTTTATGGCGTCCTTAGAAACAGTCATTAAACAAACGGAGCAAATTAAATGGTTTTCGGCTATCCACATACGACTAGACTTAGCTTGCCCATATGCAGGGACAAAATAACAGCTCTGGGCTATAATAAATCGGGCTGCTTTTTCCAAAAAGGAGACAAATAATATTTTTATTCTTTAAAATATGTTCAGCTGAGGTCTTGACAGGGCCGTCGATTTTTTTTATGTATGTATTTTTTGAATTATATTTTATGTATGAAAATCAATTATTAAGTAATAAAAAGTAAGAAGGAATCAATCAAGAACGTTTGTATGGATAAAACATTACGCGCCTCCGCCGCGTAACTAACTACTATTTTTCCATTGTTTTGCTGTGTCTAATCCCCAGGAGAATAATACATTTTTATTCGAAACTATGGAATGAAAAGAAATTCTGATTGCTTGTACGTGGTCTACGTGCATTGTACACCTCATTAAGAATTATTATCAGATACTTAATGTACTGCGCTGCTGCAAACCAATTGATTGGTCTTAGGAGAATGACTGGTTGATAACGACTATAGATGCAGTCGGGAACAATAGTTTAACTATCCTTGCTAAATACAAAAGAGTTGAAGAATAAAATATCCTTATTTCACATCTTATTGTTGGCCTTTGCGCTTTCGAGCTCTCTTTATGTTGATAACAATACAAAATCTTTTCAGATCCGAAGTTAATTTCGTTGGTAAAGAAAATCAACACAATACCTACCTACTATTTAGTTACTTTAGGTGATTTATAAACAGCATTGTTTAATTTCGGTTGTCTTCCCACCAGTAAATCTAATACATAAAATTCTCGTGTCACGGTGTGCGTAATTGAACAACTCCGAAACGGCTCGCCTGATCGAAATTTTATATGCATATTCAGTAGGTCTGGGAATCGGACAACATCTATTTTTCATCCCCCTAAATGATAAGGGTGGTGGGGTTTTTTGGACAAAATTTGTTGTTTATTTATGATACACCATACAAAAATATATACAACCCTAAATTTTCACCCTTCTACCACCAACCCCTATTTTTTATGGCGGTACGAAGTTCGCTGGGACAGCTAGTAATTATATAAAAATCTTATGTTCTTTGTTGAATGTCACGTATACATCTTGATAATTTCAATAAATTACTGATTTTAATATGGTTTCAAAAATTAAATATGTTTCGTTGATCAGTTATTAAATTCACGATGGAACTACTGAAAATTTATGCTTTTATTAGTTCCATTCAGGTCGGATTTGATGTCTTCCAAGTACATTTTTACTGCCACACACCTTCTTTATCTCACCTTAGTAAATTTTCTTCTTTCTCTTCAAATTCTATAAGTACATAAACAATGTGCTGAAATAGTCGTATCACCTCGAACTAGTCATCCTTCTATTTGACCAAACATAGCGCTAAGTTTGAATTTTAATAATAGTCCAGTTTCTAGACAAACTCCTCAACACATGGCTACAATATTCTAATGATGCAATCTGTCTATTCGACTTACCTATTTAAACATAAACTTAATATATTTAGTGGGAGAAGGGTTGCCAGCTCTACATTATTAGGGGATCAAATTCTATATTTTATAAAAAAAATATATAGTAGGCAAAACTACTTTATTTTCTTAAAGCAGATTTTTGCTAGTAAAAGCGTTCTTAGAAACAAAAAAAATAATTATTAAAGCATGGAAGAGCAAAAATATATTCATTTTAATAATAAAGTGGTTATTTTAACCACATACTATATCTTTTTGCCATTTACTATATTTTTAGAGGTAACAGCTTCGAAAATACTATATTTGATAGAAAAAAAAGTTGCTAACCCTAAGTGGGAGGTATAAAATACATAAACTTTAAAGTGAATCAAACTTTTTAAGATGTACTTACGAGGCTTACTAAGCATTGGAAATATTTTTTAACCAATCAAAACTTCAGAGCATTTTCGTAGTATTCTAATAACAAATACCTAATTGAAACAAAACTGGATCGCAATTCCCTTGTCTTACATTAGCAATGCGTAATGACCCGTATGTATTGCATGTATTTAGGACGCAGTCATTTTAGATGTGAATTGCCGTAGATCATTGCACGCAGGTGACCTAGGTACACAAACAACTTGATGATATCGTCAACCGTTGTTAAATTAAAAATCAATATATTAAACAATATCACTTAAATATATCGGATATAGCAAAACAAGGAATCTATCGATAGAAATAAAAAAAAACCTGGAAATATATAATTCGTGCGCGTGGAGTTAGTTAGAAATAAAGGTTCACTGCTCGTTCCCCGTAGGTGATAGCGTGATAATATGTAGCCTATATGATTACCCGACTTCTTAATAATATTCCATGAAGAAGTAAGTAAATCCATGCAGTACTTTTTGAGTTTATCCCAGACATACATACAGACAAACAGACAAAGATTCTTAAAACTATATTTTAGGCTTCCGTATCGATTGCAGATCACACCCCAAGTATTCTTTTAAAAAAATATTCAATGTACATTTTTGACTTTCCTACCATTTATTTATTATTATATTATTACGTACTAGCTTTCCCAGCGAACTTCGTACCCCCATAAAAATAGGGGTTGGTGAAAATTTAGGGTTGTATGTATTTTTGTATGATGTATCATAAATAAATAAAAACAAAACAAAATGTCCAAAAAAAATTTTAAGGGTGGGCCACCTTAACATTTAGGGGGATGAAAAATAGATTTTGTCCGATTCTCAGACCTACTGAATATGCATATAAAATTTCACGATAACCGGTCGAGCCGTTTTGGAGTAGTTCAATTACGCACACTGTGAAACGAGAATTTTATATATTAGATAGATATTCGGGATAATGTTTTATTTATATTTTTTTAATAGAATGAATCAAAATAGATAATTATTAGTTTTGCTTAAAAGTTGCTAAGGTTTGTATGAAACGAAATGATTTTACAAGTATTAAACAATTGTAAGAAGAAATAGTAATTGTATTGTAGGAAGCTGCAGGTGCAGGTTCGAGTGCTGTCTTGGTACCTGGGGCCAAATCCTCGTATCAATCAAGTAAATCGTAAATAAGACATTATTGTTCGAGCTCTATCTTGACCAGGAAACTTCCCAGGGATCGAAGATGCGGGCGGGGGTTCGGGGAAGTTCGAGGGATCGGGGGTGTCAGAGGGGCAATTGGTCCAGCCGGTGTTCATTGATATGAAAGACTTTATCACGTCAAAAAAAATAGTATGAATTGCAATATGTGAAGTTCGGAATGTCGAAAACAATACGTTACGTCTCAAACGGTTCCGACCACTCGAAGCAATTCCAGCAGTTTTGGTTCGAAGAATGTCGCATTCGAAATTATGAAATAGCATTATTTTATTTGAACTCAAAATAAAATAAAATTTGAACTTTGTTCGAATTTTAACTTGAGTGCATGAGAATTGCCGCCCAGGACAAATTGGCTTAAAAAAATTTGCTTAGAAAACCTTACAAATATAATTGCTATTTCTTCTTTCATATGGTTAATACTTTTCTTTTGAGCTTTGTTCAACCAAATTTACTTTAGATTAATGCTTTTGTCGTTATGTGGTACGCTCCCAGGGCCGAGCTGATTTATTTCACGAATGCTTTTATCGTTATGTAGTACGCTCCTTGGGCCGAGGTAAATATTTCATTAATACTTTTATCGTTATGTGGTACGCTCCCTGGGCCGAGCTGAATTATTTCATTAATGCTTTTATCGTTATGTGGTACGCTCCTTGAGTCGAGCTGAATTATTTCATTAATGCTTTTATCGTTATGTGGTACGCTCCCTGAGCCGAGTTAAGTTAAGTAAAGAGAAATGTAATAATTGATTAAAAAGGACCGTAAATGTATATTCACAGTTTCATACAGTATACAGTTTTCTTATTACCCAAATATATTTTGCTAATGTTCGTACCTAATAAAAGAATAAATACATAACAAAAATGTACAGAGTTCATTTATTTTATCAGTACTTAAATGTGCAGAATCTCTGCAATTATTCATAAGGATAACATTCATCTCTGTACAGAAATCATTGTAAAACCATAAAACTTTATGCGACGCGCTTCAGAAAAATATGTATACCATGAATTTGTTGTGCTTAACATTTGTGACTATTATTTTAATAGGATGGGTGAACACTTACAGTAAGTAAATTATAATTAATTTTATAAATATAAATCACTTTTTTAAGAAAAATGAAAATCGACGAGACAGAGCCACAATTTTTTTTTCATTTTCTTTAGTCAAATTAATATTTTTTGGCATCGGTGTCATGCCAACCCAAGCCGTAAATGGGAACTCAGATCTATCAGACATACATGGTACCGATATTAATTTGACTAAAGAAATTGTATTATTTCTTAAGTTTTAGTGGTTTTATTTTTATGAAGTCAGTCTGTATTTCTGTTACAGACGTTTTTATTTTTCACCTTTTAATAATTCAGAGTAACATCAATTTACAAAGTATAGTATAGGTGCTTGGCCGAAAATCTGTCTCTAAATATTTCGTAAAAGAAACAAAACACGATATGTGAACAGTTTGTAATTGAGAAGTTCCGTTGTTTATCTCCGAAAGTACTCATCAGATCTTCACCAAATTAATATGGGACCATCTCGATAAAAACTCTTTCAAACGAAAAAATAGCCATCAAAATCGGTCTACTAACTACGGAGGTATGCACGAATAACGATAAAAGAAAATATAATTATTTATTTTAGAACCCCCTCCTTTTTAAAGTCGGTTATAAAAATACCATTCATTATTTATTAAAATAAAATTAAAATAAGTTTCAACAATTAGTGTACATACGTAGTATTTTGGGGACACGTGAGAACATTGAACACAGTTGAAATAACTATTAAAAACGATAAGTGCTTGTGTTTGAGGTTTAAATGTAAGAAACATGACCACCTCCTACAAGTGTACATACAATCATTTATCTTTTATTCACAGCCATCACGGGCCAACCAGAGGGTAGGATTATTGGCGGACATACAGCAAAACCTCACAGCCATCCTTACATGGTGTCCTTACAGCTAAGGTTCTTATGGATAAGGGCACATGTTTGTGGCGGTTCTCTACTCAGCGATAGATGGGTCAGTTAAAATACGCAGAACTGTAATCACCATTTGCTTCACATATTATATTATCATTTTAATTTCTGTTCCATCACGCAAATTTTTATCCTGTCTTCCACGCAGTACCATTTTTTTTCACTTCAAATATAACAAAGATCGACATTCCAATCGACTTCCACAAAACTCCGATCAATCACGAACCATTTGCAATTGAAGCATCTTATATCATTTTACCCCATAGAGGTACATATACAAAGAAAAATTTTAGATGAAGCGCCAGGTAACTGCTCGTAAATTTCAATTACATTAAAAACTACAAACCTGGTTATGTCAATACAAAGCTAGATTACTCAGAAGCAGTACTCTCACTTAAATAAGAACATAGTTACTTTGAAAAAAAAAATACATTTTGCTTTTAAAGGTCAAAAAAATTTAGAACAGGTCAAAATACATTTCAAACGGCAAGGAAATGTCAGGAAGGCTGGGGACCTTTAAGGGATTGGGGTTATCACGATTTTCAGGAAAACTACAACTCAAACGAACTATTTATCTCAAAAACGACACGTCGTCGTAGTCGTTTATTCACTTATCTGGTAGTTAATATAGGCATCTATTGATAATTGAGAATCGTGACAACCAATTTTCATTTTCTAAGATCCATAGTAATGGTAGGGAGTCCAAGCGGAGATTTTTAAATTTACTCAAGCGTGGCAGAATAACATAAGAGAGACAACCTTTCACCTTGTGAAGTACTCCCACCACACCTGAGCCCTCTATGTAGAGCCGAACGGCTAGACTAGAGCAACAAAAAAATTTCATAAAGCGGCCATGATTTTGGTCACGTCCAAATCGTCATCGTCTTTTGAATAGGAGCTAACTTCAGGGTTCACGGAAGCTTTTTCATAACCAGATATTAAACAAGTCTTTTCTTCCATTATCTTAACTAGAACCAGACTTTTTATCTTTGCCAAAGGCATCCGCCCTGGCCTATTATTAAAAAAAATATGTTCCATTTATGATTTCAAAATCTTCGGTTTAATCCAGTTGACCGACTCTATATGTAACCGAACTTGACACAAAATTGAGGTGTTGTTACAAATTGCAACTCTTAAAATATATTTATACTAATGAAGCCATTTTTAATTTTACACAATGTACCTACAGATTTTGACAGCTGCACATTGCGTCACCAGCTCGTTTCTACTACGTTGGTTGAACATTGACGCAGTGGCCGGCGCACACGACGTTGACTATTACGGACCCAATGCTCAGGTGTCCAAGATTATTGAACGTGCCCCACATCCGAAATATGGAGGGTAACTACATTTTTAAGAAAATTTTATTAGAAAAAAATCCATGCGGTCGTGGGTTCTGGGCGGATACCAGAAGATGTAAGTTCAAATCCTCTCTGATGCCTGGACCGCGTGGGTTTTTTTAGGCGAGTAAAAATTTCTTTAGATTTAAAAATTAAGCAATGCTTAAAATACAAAATATAATAAACTACATCAACACGGATTAGATTAAGTTGTGAATTTGTATTTATTTTTGCCGGCAAAATGAGCTGTTACTTTATCAGATTAAAAAAAATAGAGGTTAGCAAGTGAACAAGCAGAATAAGATTAATTACAAAAGCTGTTAATCAGATTAATTTATTACAGGTTAATCATCATCTCACATTTAACAGCGTTTTTAACAATAGGTATCTATCTACTTAAGATGTAACCAACAAGAAAATTTGACTGCAAAGTTGAATATATAAAACATTAACTGTAATTTTCGCAGAGGCATTGGACCATATGACATCGCTATGCTCAAGACTGAAAACATAATTATTTTCACTAAGCAAATCCAGCCAATAAACCTACCGATGAATGTGGACCTAACCAACCCTGATCTTATATTGCCCGGATGGGGGACGCTGAGGACTACGATGTTTATTCCAGATCTTCCCAGCAAACTGCAGGAGTTGAAAGTGACCTATGTCCCTTTTGAAAGTCAGTGATTACATATTATTTATAGTTTTTTATGGCATATTGCAAATCCCAACTTTGCAATCTTCTTTAAGTTTAAAGGTGATCGCACATATGTCCGCGCCGTACGCGCCGTACGCGCCGCACGCCACGAACGCCCCGAACGCCCCGCATTTCCAGGCTTTACCAAATGCGTTCGATGCTGATGGAAGTGTGCGAGGGTTGATATGATTACATACCACAAATACTAATAATTTTCATTTTTTTTAAGCTTGTAACTGCTCGAAGTTTGAAATGTAAAGAAAATATAACTTGAAAGAATTCCACGCGGCCCAGGCAGCAGGCGGGACCGACTGCTGCCTGGTCCACGTGTTTTTTTTTTATTATATTTGCTTTAGATTTAAGACGAATACTAAATTACGGGACGTGCGGCGCGTACGGTGCGGACATACTTATATGCGATCACCTTAAAGGATATATATTTTCTCTTCTTGAAGCAATTTTTTGTGAAAACCTAGCCCTTTATCTATAATGATCGAAGATGCTAGAATTCAGATATACAATATTATAATATTTTATTATCAATTGGTCCGTAACGTCTAAATAGTTATTTCTTATTTAATTTTCAGAGTGCACTGAACAAATTGAGAAATTATTAGAAAAGAATGAAGACAATCCCTTGGATAAAGAAGCTAATATATGCACCGGTCCATTAGGAGGTGGCACAGCTGCTTGCAGTGGTGATTCTGGGGGACCTCTAGTTCTACATTTACCAAAACCAATAGTAAAAAATAGTGATACCGACAAAGCTTCTACTGAAGAAAACGATGATATTAAGAAAAATATAATTGATAACACTTCAAATGATAAACAAGACTACACATACTTCGTAAAGCAGTCTAAGGAAAACAATAATTTCACTCCTGTTGTCGTTGGCGTAGTTTCTTGGGGTATTTCTCCGTGTGGCGAAAAGGGTGCACCCACAGTTTTTACCAATGTGTCTCAATACATGGACTTTGTCAATAAATACATACACACTTAAAAAGTCATATTTTATTTGCTTAATTCACAAATATTTTTATTAAGTCTAGTTATCTTACAAAACTAATTTCATCTTGTTTTTATTTTTATTTCCTACTGCTACTTAATCGAACAATGCAATCGAAGAGAAATCAATAAATATTTTGTACACAAAAATATTTTTAAATAATACCTATTGACATTACTGTTACTTTAGTCTCAAGTGTGGATTGAGAGAAAAAAGATTTAAGAACTGCGACCTATTATTATTTTTATCAGGATTATTTTAGTTCAGTCAAAAAACATCGAATTTTCAAGTTGGCCTCTTGAAATAAATGAAACATTGTGAACAAAAAATATTGGATCCGCAATTATCTTATCTTTTACAAATAAATAAATAAATAGGTTAAAATAATACTTATGTACACCAAAACTAAAAAAACAACCTTAACATACTATTTTCCTTATACAATAGTTCTATGAAATAATTACATTATCCCCATATATCCCTCATAAAAGAGATAGAGAAGTCAGCGTATAAGATATTAACAATTTACTTATCACTTTCATTTTCGCCCTAGAAACTCAAACTAAACTATGCAGTCGATATCACCATGTTTTCAAATCCTTAAATTTTCCTAAATATATTATGAGTACGAGGAGCCCGATGGCGCGCGGTTAGCGCGTTCGGCTGCGACCGTTGAAGTTAAGCAACTTTCGCAGTGGTCGGTCATTAGATAGGTGACCAAAATATTACTATCTCGAGCTCCTCTGTGCTTCCGAACGCACGTTAAAGCCGTTAGTCGAGGCTGCATCTGCAATCGTTAGCACCCACCAATCCGTCCTGGGCCCAGGTTGTGGGTCACGGACCACATCCGTAAAGAAGTCCTGTGCTCCAGTAGTGGGGACATTAGTAGGCGGATGATGAGATGATGATAGTGATTATGAGTAGTAAAAATCATTTATAAACATAAGGGTGTTATCCCTAGTATTGTGGTTCACCGTTTTCGTGCGACCCCTTTTTAACACATAGGGTACTTACTCAGTAAGTACAGTTCTGTTACTAATGTTATTACACAATAATTATGTCTGTCGTACAAGTATCAAATAATCTCAGTCGTCTGTGAATCTTATAAGAAGGTGAAAGTTGTAAGTATGAGATTTTGATAACTTGACGTGTGGTTGAATTACTGATTTTTGTTAATTGGCAAAATAATGAAATCGTTCCCACCCCGCGGGGGGTCTCATAAGGGTGGTGGGCGCAGGCACGGGTGAAGGGCGCATGCGCATGGTCGCCTGAGAGGTTATGGAAGATTTAACTACGAGATTTCATTATACACCGTGAATTTCAAATTACCTGAGAAACTTAAATATCGTGTAAATAAAGTAAGAACGGCTATAAACAGTAAACCTACCTGGATCCCCATACAAAAATATAGATTTATATCGTTTACAAAATATTCTAAAACGGCGAAAGTTTGTAAATATCATACTATGAATTTATGTATTAGTTTAATGTACGTCCGTTTTAAGTATCCTTAAAGTAAACATTATTTGAATCAATTTATGACAAATAAATTTGTTCAGGTTGCATAATCGCACAATAATAGAATTAACGAGGAGACGCTTTTGGAAAATATTCAGTGATAAAAAAATTAACGGTGTATACTAGCATCATTAATTTTTTTTTAAACAAATAAATTTACTTGTCGTTACTTCAAAGCTATTCTATATGCATGATATTTATACTAGCTACAGCCTAATAATGTCCCCTTGCTGGATGGAGCACAGCATTACGGGGCCTTACCTATGGATAGGCAGAACATACTATGTATATTTAACGCACATTATAGACAATAATTCATGCAACTTTTAATTTAACAGCACGTCAGGTGGCCTGTAGTTTCCACATTTGGCTAACGATCGTACTACGGATTTGGGCATTTTCTGGGGTACGTTGATTATGATGGCTGCTGGTAGAGAGGAAAGGCCACAGGACCTGCACTCCAGCAGCCAGCTGCCGCCATGATCTGGCTTGATCCTGACGACGGCGTAACCTTTCTTTGGCACCACAATGGTGTCTTTGAGAGGCGCATGTTTGAGATTCCTGGAACATTTTAAGAGTTCAATTAATGATTTTTGTAAAAATACTGATTAATAGATATATTGTTTTAAACTTTCATGGTCACTAACATTATAGCTATTAACGGGATTGTTACCATGTACCTTGTTTTTTATGAGTCTCCGATATTTCGGCACTGTTGCAAGCGCCATGATCACGGAGTAACTCGGAGTATCTTATCGGAGACTCATAAAAACAAGGTACATGGTAACAATCCCGTAAATAGCTATAATAATAATTAATATGTTTAAATCGTTATCAAAAATATTATAAATAAAGGTAAGTAAGCAAATAAATTGATCTATGTGGTGTACAATAATTGAGAGAATTAACTACGCAAAACTACGGTCTCCCGCCGTAGTTTTGCGAACCGATGGCGTAGCTTCTCGACCTTCACAAGTGCTTGTAACAGCCTAGACTGAATAAATGACTTTTCATTTCATTTCAATTATTTTTAACTCCGAATAGAAATCCCAATGGAATACCACCGAATACGTATCTTTATATAAAAGAAAAAAAACGGTAATAAATTACAATTCAAAACATGAAACATATTTTATATATTGCTTTCAAGTATCCATAGCTTCGATTTTATTATACGTGTGTCACATCTATAGAGATGTTGTGATCATAAAATAAATTGAGAAACGTAAAAGATAAATCAAACAGCATTGTATAATATTATTTTATTAATGTAACACTAAGGCCCGTATTACAAAATGGCAACTAAGTGTTGATCTTTACTTGAGTACAGTTAGAAAGGGATATCGCTATGTGCTATATATAGCGACATCCCTTTCTAACTGTGCTCAAGACTAGATCAATCACTGAGAATCTTTCTATAATACGGGCCTAAAAGTAGTACGATTATGTACTGACCTAAATACAGCTCCTCCCTGGTTAAGTTTTTCGAACTCTTCTTTAGACATAGGCTTGCCCTGCGGATGTCGTCCCGACGATACCACCTGCATGGTGTATCCATGCATGTGGAAAGTATACGATTCATTACTCTCAAAGCCTGAAAAACATCAAAGAAGCATTTAAGCACCATTGCAGGAAGAAAAATAATCATTACCCTAACTGGAGATGAACTAAAATCTTATTCTCTACTCATTCTGACAGTCAGTTATTACTTAGAAACCACATAAATATTTTTTAAAGCAAGTTTTTTTGTGTGTATGCTGTTGGCCGCAGACGACCTTTACAGTTCCACCGGGTGCCAGTGGGAACAGCGAAATCCTAAAGGGACCTCAAGCCGTGAATTGACGAGTGCCTCTTGAGGTATTCCAGGCGGATGGACATCTCCCTTTGGGTGGGAGGAGGGGAAAGGTCTCCTCTCCGTCTGGAGCCTCTAGACCACTCAATCCTGAGGGAATCGTCCTAACTATAGTATCACCACCGATATTGATAATTTTTTGGACCTAACCATGCTTGACTGGACTCCGGGAAGGAATTTTCCCTGAATATTTCATTCAAAGCAAGTATTACATAAGTATTCAGAGATAAAAATAACAAATGTTTGCTCGCTCAGAACTGTTCTGAGTGCAAGTGGGTATATATTTATATAGCAGCATAATATTTTCCGATGTGAAAACTTTGTAAAATAGTTTGGCACAAATTGTCCAGTCCAGATGATTCAATGTTTAATGTTTAATAGTTATTTATGCAACTGTTGTATAATGAGGGGTATACAACACGGGTTTATTAAGTATCACATTAGTGTTTTAATACCTAATTACGAACAGTTGCATACAAGACTTTCTACACCAATGATATGAAACCTCTATAAAAGATTTTGAAACCATGGGACGGTCAAAGAACTAGACACTGTGGTAGTGAAACGAACGTAAATTACATTTTTTTTTTAAATTCATATACCACGCATAGAGCAGTGAACTTTGTGGCTGTCTTATCAGTAAGCCCTTAGCGTAGAAGGGATTTAAAAAGCGAAAGAGTGTTATAATATAATTTAGTACAACATTATAACACCCGGTTGGGTGGTATATATGTTTTTTTTTATTATGACATTGAATGTTTTAATGTTGGCAATAAGCTAACTGTTTCAGAATCTTAAATAAAGATTATAAAGCATAGGTATAATAGGATAAATAAATCAAAAGATATAGTCACCCTCGTTGACTAATACAAGTTCCAACACATTTTCTTTTGGTTCAAGAACCATAACACACTGAGGTTCCGGGTTTTCTGACTCCTCGCCCACTTTGCAGATGAAATCTCCCTTGACATCTTGTGGATACAACAGCATTGGTGTGTTTGGATACAAGAAACTCTTGCCGTTAATTTGCACCACACCACTTGATTTCAAGCCTGAAATATATATTTCGTTAAATTTGATTTGTTTTGTAATGACGAATAGCTGGTTAGCATAATTTTCTGTTGATACACGATCACTAAACTTATACTTTAGCCCCCTTTATTAATAAACAAAGAATAAGCTAAGACTAGGTACGCCGTGTTTTTGCCATTTTCAATTCAATGAACCGAAACAAAACATAGAGCACCAAATCCGAGCTTATTCTTCGCATATTAATATCGGGAAATGGGGGAAATGTGACACTGCAAATTGTGAAATAAAAAATATTTACAAATAAATTTTAAATAATATTTTTGGATTTATTTAGACACACAACGTAGGGTGTATAAAAAATACTACGCTGGATTGTTACTTGGTTCTAAAGCCCAACTTTAATTTGTCTATCGATAAATCATAAGATCTATTAAACATTTATCAACCACTTACCAAAAGAGGCCGGGTAATATACTTTCTTTGGTATAGCATCGCTAATGTATCTAAAATCTATGTCTTTTTCTTTGATGTTCCATTTTTTTCTGTTAATTCCCAAATAAACCGGTTCAGGGGGGGCATCTTGTGATACCTCTTGTAGAGACTCCAACATTTGACCGTAGACGGCCGAGTCAGAATCTAAACCATTTTCATGATCAACTTCGTTCTAAAAAAAAATAGAGTATGTTAACTTCAAGTTTTAAAGGCCATTCGCTAGATAGCGAAGGGGTCTGGTTTGAATAGTCAAACTCAAGTCAAGTCAAACTGGATAGAAATCTTGCTGCTGAATGCTTAATTCAAAATACTTTCTCTTACTGCAGCTTGTAAGATAAACAAAAATCTTGCCAATTAGTTTTGTAAATACACTTATTACCAAATGCCACAGTGAACTATCAGTTGCATATTATAGATGTACTGTCGACGCCATAACAACGGGTACACTTCTCAATCTTACTGAAAAAGGGTAGGATTTTCGCAAGGACGTAAGTCGCCTTAGAAAGATTGCGAGAATAATCGTTGGTTTATTTTAATATTCTTGGGTTTTTGTAGGTAATGTTAGTGATGCAACCATGAAGCGACTAATGCGGCAGCGGCTGGCGAAGCGATGCGAAGAGATGGCGCTGCCTTGCAGCTTAAGGCTAGGAAAATTTCGACGCGGCCGTGAGGGCCGTGGTGGCATAATTGGTCAGTGCATTCGCCCGGATTGCGAAGGGTGCGGGTTCGAGTCCCGTCCGCTGCCTGGTCCGCGTGGATTTTTTTCAAGTAAAACTTTTCTTTGGATTTGAACATCTAGCGGTCGAATGCTTAAAAATAAATAAAAACATAAATTGTTATCGAATTCATTGGGCGTTTGAAAGTTCAATATACTTTAAATACAAACTAGTAGTTAAAAATTATATAAAACTATTTTAGTGCGATAAATCACATTCCAAATGTACGAGTATATTCGAACAACAACTCAGATTTCACTTTCAACAGATACGGAGGTTAAATACCAATTTATAAGCTACTGGTTAAGAACTTCGGATGTCGATTCACAAGAATTCTAACTTTGACTTGCATTTCACTTCACATTCTATACAAATGCACTTCATTATTTGACGACCTCCGTGGCCGAGTGGTTTGTACGCTGGGTTTCATAGTGTCGCCGACTCGAGGTTCAAATCCCGGTGGGGCAGATGTTTGTGTGATGAATACGAGCATTTCTACTCCAGTCATGGATGTTTATTTAATATCTATTTCTATATAAATATACTTACATATGTACTGTAATGTATTTTATCCGTTACCCTTGTATCCTATAACACAAGCCTAACAGTGCTTACTTTTAGGGCTAGGCTAATTGGTGTGTGTGTTGGAAATATTTACTTATTTAAAAATAAAAAAATATCAGCCTATTAATGACCCACTGCACAGGCCTTCCCTATAATTGGAATAAGGAGATTGGGCCATGTTCCACCACGCGAGGCAAATTCGGATTGGTGGATGCTAACGGCTGCAGATGCAGCCGGGACCAACGGCTTCACGTGCCTTTCGAAGCACAGCGGAGCTCAAGATAGTAAATTTTTGGTCACCTATCTAATGACCGAGCACTGTGAAAATTGGTTAAATTAAACGATCGCAGCCGAACGTGCAAGCCACTTGCGCCATCGAGCTACTCTAACCAATTTACGCTCCTCTTACGCGACAGTAAAAGATACCTATGCTCTTTAAACAATCGATTGTTTCGTATATCAGTGATAAAAAGTAATAATGAAAAGTGAGAAAGTAAATTGTAAGTCGGCAAAAACAACCAAAACAACAAATCACAGAATTAAGTAAAATTAAACCTTTTGAAATTTTTAAACAGTACTTTAAAACACATTACATCATTACACGGCAAAATGTCACTGCCTTTTGAAGCAGACAATTATTAGATATCTGACATAATTTGACAAATATGCGAAAGTGAGATTACGTGATATAGAACACCTAAGCCGGTGTCAGGTTGAAATTTTGTTTATACGATCGGATTCTTACTTAAGTAAAATTTTGCTAAATAAATATAGCCGTTTAATTTTTAAAATAAACCATAATAAAATTTAAATGTAATACACACCACTCCCTGTTGCAACATGGAGGTATAATTGAAACCGGAGTATAGGAGCATGGCGTTTGCACTGACGCCTGCGCACGCGCCACCAGCATTCACCTTAATCCAGTACCCGCCCGACTCTTGCGATGCTCTTACTACTACGTCCATCCGCTCTCCTGAAACGTGAACAAAAAATACTGTTATATTAAGATACAGCTTGATTTTTAAAACATTAGCAGAGCCAACTTCGATGATCGTATCGGTCAAGTTTTCAAAAGAAGAATCTTCTTTAGTCTTTCGTACAATTTGTGAGATAAACAAAATATCTGCACCATATTCATCAGAACTTACGCCTTATGTTACAACCAATTTTCCTGTTTAAAAAAACATTATTACAAGTATGTATTTTTTTGTAAATATACTTGTAAATTACTTGTTGAAGTTTTGTGGGAATGAATTTAGCCCTTTAAAAGTAAAATAAAACTAAATACAATAAATGTATATGCGTGTGGATGTGTGGATTTGTGTTTGTGTGTTTGTTTTTGGGAGTGAATGTATACATATTTGTATTATTTTATTAAGTATATGTGTTGGGTATGACTTGAATGTAAAAATATGCCTTTTTCAGATTGTTTTGAAGAGACATTCAGTGTTATACTATCTATATACTCTTACTAGCTCCCTAATATAAATAAATACCTTTACATATAAATACATCAGCGGATTTCATAATGACTTAAGATGTAAATAATTGTAAGTTTCGTATTCGATAATTATGTAGAAGACTTACTTACCTACATAATTAATTGATATAAAATGAGTTTCAAGGTAAAAACTTCTTACTTATTAATTTAATTATAAATTATATATAGACCGTGTCTGTTCTGTTCAAAGTAAGTTATGATTATAGTTAACAGTGAAGAAAGGTATCATATAAAAATCTTTGACGAGGTTTATGTTACATGCGTTAGTTTTAATTAATTAACAAGTGGCAAACAGTATTTACTACAAGTTTGTTTATTTTTTCCAAAGGACTTATCGTTAAAACTGTTTCTTCTTACAATTATATTTTATTATTTAATTTAATATCTATAATCATAGGAAATGTGAAAATTAAAATAATTTACCTAATATTGATGTAAGAAAGTCATTATTATTAATGAATATAATCACAACGTATAACATAGGTAACAACAATAAGTTTTATTTTGCCTAACGATAAAATATTTTTGTTTGTCTGAATTGATAATTATCGAAAATATAAGACTATTATTAATATCATGAAAGATTGCAATATATTTTGATTTCGAACCAGTTTGCGAACTTATTACTTTAATTAAGGGTTTCTTGTGACATTATATCACTTTCAGTTGTTTAAAGTGACAAGGGAAAGGATAAGATGAAAAAATAGCACGATAAAGCTCTTAATAAGAGTGGAATAAAGATGAAAGTTGGAGAATATTAAAGTGATCGTAAAGTTTATTGACCGTACGAAAGAAAGTGAAAATAAACGAAACCTGCCTCATGGCTGACCTTAAACTGAGAACACACCCACGAGAAAGTCTTTCTCCTCTCGCTACCTGACACACAATGATATAAATCCTTTATAGTGTGCTTTTAAACGTAATTTAAGCTAGTTATTCACTGTTCTTGCGGTTAAATCAATATAAAATGTATCGGTGTAGTGTTGGGAATAACAAAATCAGTAAAGACCTAATTATATAAATGTTTGAACCTCAGAAATAAAGTTTGAGGTAATATTATCACTGTATTCACTTTTAAAATAATGAGTACTTTTGTTCATCGATAGCAATTTTAAATTTCTGTTATGACAAAAACTAAGTAGCTTTAAAGGACTTAGTAAACTGAGAGTTTTGGACGATATAAAATATTCTATATTTGGTATTTCTCTAGTGTCTCTAGTGTTAGCAGATAGTTTACTAAGGGAGCAAATAACAATTTTAAAAACGAAAGTGCTTTTTTGAATCGGGGGCCTCAGGTCCAAGCAGGAATTTTTGACAGCTTCGTTATCGTCATGTATGGAAAAAGCTAGTTGGTTTTTATGTCCGATAGGGGCGCTACTCAGTTTTCATAGAAATTTTGACGATGTAATACTTTACGGAGCTGTCAAAATTGGCGCTTGGTCATCTACGCGCAGTAAGGGGTTCAAAGTACGTCGCACGAGCTTTAAAATAGTGTTGCTCCCGAGGTGGACACTTCTTTTTATCACTCTCTATGATAAAATAAGTAAATGCAATTAACATTTTTAGCTTCTCATAACATCCATGTTCTCGGGTGTTATGATAATACTATCATTCTCACTACTTGAGGAAGTCAGTAAACAATTATGAAAGAAGGGAACGTATTTCATTAGTTGTTTATTCTTTCACATTTTTTAATTCGTGAAGCGCGTGGTTACTTTTTATACAGTGCCTCAAAGAACTTCAATGTCCGTACTCTCGACTTTATTCATGGATTATATAAAAACGACGATTACAATATTATATAATATTTTCTGATTGACACCACGATGGAAACATTTTAAACTTATTTAACGATTACGCAGTATCTAAATGTGTCAAGCATCATCGTTTTGGACACATCATATCCGACATCAAAATGAACAAATCTGATCTATGCTTTACCTTCACTTATACTCTGTGACTTGAAATGTGAAAGTAATAGTATAGTCGTACACGGAAAAGAAATTTAGTACCTATTTTAAACACACATTAGTTTTAGTGTTATTATGAAAGAATAAAACTATTTTTAAACATCAAAATTATAAAGACACGTAGTTTTTGAAGTGTCTAAGATTTCGAGAGCTTCACGAGGTAGCGACATGGTAATGCGGGTGTATTCTTTAAGTTATGGTGGCGCCTGCCGACACCCAGGCCATAATGCTTATTTGCCTTTATGTTTACAAAAAAATTATATTTCTATTTCTGTAAGAGGGACAGAAAACACCAGTGATTTTTAACAAATTTCTAAGATTTTTTATCAAAGTGCAGCGAATTACCTTACCTAATCTAATGTTAAGTGTAAGTTGAGTTTAGTCACGAAGATAGCTGAAGCAGCAGAAATAATTTAATATGTACACCATTATATCACCATATAGGTATACAACTAATGACTTCAGACTTCTAGATTACCGCTCCGCCAAACCTCTTTGGGAAAATGCGTGCCTCTCCTCTGAGGGAGACGAAGTTATGTGGAACTCCTCCCCCACCATCCCGCTTACCTACCCAACCGGCCCTGAGACTGGCTGAACTACTGCCCGAGGCGGAAGAACCTATCCACCCACTAAAAACCTCGCAGTACTCCCCCGTCTGGCTCAACCAAACCTCCATTCCAGCCTGAACCCAGCACATTATCCCGTAGGATCCTGAAACCTCCCTTACGAACAGAAATACAAGACCACCAAAGGTGTTTTTTTACTTTGGTCTTATGTAGGATGGATATCACGTCCCCAGAAAGGTGAGCGTTCCAATTCATTCGTGATGTAAATATATCTAGAAAAAGAAAAAAATTGAAACGCCCGTCTGAAAACGAAATCCTTTTCACAGCAGACCACAGTGAAATACGACTACCTTTTGGACGTGTCAGTATATGTTTGTCCAGGGGCATCACATAGTGTATAAAGAATGCCAGATTGGCAAAGCTCATTCCCAAGTAAAAGGCTTGTATTTACTACCAGATGGACCATATTCTTAGTGGTATAAAAAACTTACCTGGGTACAATTTGACAGTTCTAGCAGGTAACGGCTTTACTGGCTTGCCATCAGTCGCAATTACTACCATCTCGTGCTGTTCTATCTGGATTATCACCGGACATTCAATTGCTATGGCGTTGATGAGTCGTAATCTGTACGCATAACCTTGCAACACAAAAACTCTGAAATAAGAAACAGAGCAAATAAATAAATTATAAGTTATCAACTCAAAACAAAACGATAATAGTAAATCTCATAAATCTACAGAATATAATTAAAAATTTCACAATGAAACGGAGTAAACCAAACACTGATATTATTACCTACCTATCTATATACCTATTTTGTCGGTAGTATAGTTTTTTTGTATGATTTCGATAAAACTCTGACTAGAAATTTAGTTAAGCGAACTTGGTACCATACCATCTGTGGATAAAAGTAAAAAAAAAAACTAATACTGCTATTAAAAAATGTAGGGTTCTAAGTTTTCTCAGCATAAATCACAAAAAACACTTTTCAAAACAAAAATCTAGAGAGGGCTCTACCTTTATTACCTGAAGGAATAAAAAATATTCTACGACTTATTCTCAGACTTAGCAAATATAAAAACGTAAAGATAAAAAATAAATAAAAAGGGAAATATTTAGATTAGATTATCAATTGATTTTTTTTCAGGATCGATTACTATATTTGCTGATCATTTAAATGTGTCATTTAAAAATAAAGCAAATCCTTGTCTAATATAAATTAAAGTTCAATATGGAGTTAGTTCTATACCGGCTACCTCAAATATTTAAATTATGATTCACTAACATTACTACTACTAATTACCTAAAATTTTAATAATTGCTGTATTTAATTAAATCGGTTTTAATTCAATGATACATGGTGAAAACTATTTCAACTGTCATTAATCGAAGGTTAGAATTACACTGTTAGCAAAACGGTAACATAATTGGTCGTGTTGCTCCAATTGATGTATCACATGAAGGATTGACAAACTCTTGAAGGTTATTCACAATAACAATGAAAGGGAAAAAATGCAAACAGAGGTCGTATTGCACAACAAATGTGTGTTCTACGCATTATTTCAAAATGCACACTCTATATTTTCACAATTTAATTAACACTTGTTTGAAATTTCTTTTCAGATATATGTTCGTAGAAACGAGGAATTTTCGCTGAGATTATACCATGTAGGTATTGGTATCTCCAAATCCTCGTTGGTTAGAAAAACATAGCTTGGACTGCGCGTAACCTAATTAATACATTGACATGTGGTGGGTTGTGGAACATAAAACTTTTACCCGTAAGCACGCCCGTAAGTAGTTTTAGTGTAAATTCACAAGTACATATACACAATTGCACATTACTGGATTGATAAAGCCGTCTAAAAATGTAGCGACATAAAAAAACGAATATGTAATTTTTTTAACCCTTTTTAACATATGCAATGGCAGACAATATTATATTCCACTGCAAACTTAAAAAATGTCATAAGCAATGTAAGTATAGTATAGCGGTACATAGTAAGGATCCACAAAATAGGTGAAACCTATGTTTTGGATTCACACTCTTTCAAGTTCTACGTCTGCCGGATTGTTCTATAACTACATATAAAGCTAGAATGCCTATTACCTTCATTGAAATGTTTATTTTCATGTAATTTTGAAAATATTTAAATTTAGTAGAAGCAGTTTTTTCAACAACACTTCTATATGTGTACATTTCACTCTCGACGTCTCTTTGTTAGCACCGTGACTACGTAATCATAATCTGCTAAATTAGCAATCCACTAAAATTTCAGTGTTAGCCAAAATTGCATTGCGTGCAATCATCAGGATATACGTACTTAAAGTTTTCGTCATCGCCATTGACGGTGAGTGCGTCCGGTTGTATATGAGCTACATCCTCGAGGTAGGCTGAAAGCAATGTGGGAAACTGAGCGGCGATGAGCAGAGTTCCTTCATCACTACGATCGTAGTCGTAGAGGGCCGCATGCGCCTCCTGCGGCTGCGGCTGGTTCACAATCAGAGACCCATACACACCGTCGCTTTGATGGGACACTGCAATTTGATATTCATACATTACCAATGGATGCGGAAAGCACAGTAGAGGACTATTTCCAGCATCAGCTGATGCGATAATAATAAAAGATCTTCTGAATTTTGCGTGAGTCGGTCACTGAGCCAATATATAGCAGATTTTACAGGAATTAATAAGTTGATGTAAGTGTTCCAAAATTGATGTTATTAATAACTTCATAGGAATGACAAACAACCTCACGTTCTTTCCTAATGGCAAGCCGCGGCCTCCAGTACCACTTGTTGTTTAAAGGATGATTGTTATAGATATAATTATCAACGTTCTTTATTGATACTGATATCGATTATTGACTCTTGTTTAGAATAATACTTATTTTTCTACTTTCTCTCTATGATCAGTATCTTAGAATTCAATAATTAGTAATGTCTAAACCACAAAATTTTCACTAGAACTATCGTTTTTCATTACCTGAATCGGCGTGATAGAAAAATGTTCCTGGCGATGACGCGATAAAAGCGTACTTATAACTGGTTCCGTAGGCAATGGGGCACTGTGTCACCATGGGCACTCCGTCCATATGCGGCGTACCCATCTGGTTGACTCCGTGCCAGTGTATGGTTAGATCCTGGTCTGGTATCTTGTTCTTCACTTCCACGACTATGACGTCATTGACGCAAACATTAATCGGAGGCCCCGGAGTGATTCCGTTTACAGAAATAGCTATCTTGTCATTATCTCCTACGATTGGTTCTACGGTGAAATTATAATGACATCTTCGCGGTTTCACGTTGAATTTGCACGGGCGATTGCAGGATTTGTCTGTGAAGAATGTCGGAATGTTAACATTAATATTAAAAAATCTAAGTAATGTCACTGAAGACCTTTGTTAAATCTATTTAACAAATTAGTAAACGACGAGTTATGTTTCTATGATGGTTTAGGACTGGAATAAACACATTTATGAACTTTCTAGCTATGTTTCCCGTGTATCTCAATGGACACGGTGATGGTTAAAAATAATGGGCTGATAAACTTGTCGTTACTAGACAAAATTTTAAGCCTTACCAATGTTAAATCAGGATTCCCTAAATATCCGAAAAAAAAGCTTAACTTTTGCGGTCTACCCAGGGGACCTATGAGGGGGGGGGGGGGGTTAGGGTTACCTATATCAAATACCCCGGAGCCGCACGACAGTCGATAATTCATGGTTTTTCCTGCGCGAGTTGGAATGACACCGACTCCAAATGTTAACTTGACTTCTTAGTGTTTTTTTCCTATGAAGTGGGTTTTTATTTTTGTTCAAAATAATTTAGTTTATTAGTATTGAGACGAAAATTACATCAAATTCAATAAAATTTAAAAGATAATAATTAACGACTTTGACATTTAATTAGCTTTCATCGCATGAGAAAGGAAATGCAATATTATATCTCATTAAGTTGCATCTTTGATATTTATCTCTTTAATGAGTTAATGTTCGCAGAACCTTATAAAACGATTTTATTTAGAATAATTAAGCTAAAATTTTTCGATTGCCATATTTTGACTGTTGTAACCAATTTTAGGACAATATCATAGAAATCACGAATAAAAAACAGTTATTTTGCTCAGGCAGGGTCCTGATTAACCATTAAGGAAAATAGTTTTATTCTTTGTTTGTTTGTATATATTTATTAATTTATTGTCTCCTCAACCAAGAAGAAAATTGTCGTTTTTTATATAAATAAGCAATGTTTTATAATGGCTTAGTGTGGGTCGGGCTCTGTGTTGCCAAATCTCCCGATTTTACAGGAGATCTCCTGTTTTACTGAAATTTCTCATGCTCTTCTTTTTTTCTATATGAATCAACCGTTTTTCTTAGAAAACGATATTCTTATTTAAATTGCATGTTGAGTTGCGTTTTCCGTCATTATAAAAGTAGGTAACCTTAATTATAATAAAATATGATATTGTATAAAAAAAAAAGATTTTTGGGGCGGCAGAAGCCACAGATACACATTCGTTACTGGCCTATATCTTGATTGCAATATATCTCCGTTATGTTCGCCAGCTCCTCATTTGGTGGCGGTGCCATGCCAACCGAAGCAGTAAATGGTAACTCAGGTGTATCAATATGCATTCATGTTTTTATTTTTGTTATCTATAATATAAAACTCAAAGGTGACTGACTCACTGACATAGTGATCTATCAACGCACAGCCCAAACCACTGGACAGATCGGGCTGAAATTTGTCATGCAGGTAGATGTTATGACGCAAGCATCCGCTAAGAAAGGATTTTGATCAATTCTACCCCCAAGGGGATAAAATAGGGAAAAAGAAAAAAGGAAAAGGGGATAAAATAAGTTTGTATGAAACTTTGTCAATTTTAAACCGATCGGGCTGAGACTTTGCATGCAGGTATAAGAAGAATCATAGATGAATGTCATTGTGTATAATGCAAGCCTGAGAACAAAAACTGCAGTCTACATTTCAGCTCTACACCGAAGCGAAGCGAGGGTGGGCCGCTAGTATTTATATGTGTTTGTGTACAAACATTATCTCTTTAATGTGTACTTTAATGACCTAACATATTAGTTAAGTCTAAGTTTTTTTCTGGTACAATTAGTGTTTATAGGTGAAATTTAATTGAGCTACCTCTCTTAAATTACATCAGCACCATCAAACCATTGTATCAGCAAAGAGCATGAGAACTGATTATACTATCGAATTGGAGCTACACTCCAGCAAAATAACCTCCAACTTATAGAAGCAGAGAATATCATATTGGTGCTATCTTGCTTCTGTCAGTAAGTAAGGTCTTTGGGGCTCCACGGAGTAGGGAATTGGGTTTGGGAGCGCAGAGTGAAAAGGTCTGGAGCGGCATATTCCTCTACCACAACAACTTTACTAAATTCCACTCACACTTTACGTTAAGTGTGCCATTATATGAAAATTAGATAACCAATATCTAGATATTGATTAATCCTATTTTCTAAAGATATCTATCTTTATTTTGAATTAACAAAAATAAGTATGAAAGTGTTGTTCTGAGTTCTTCTGTTCTGTTCTGAGTGTTCAAATATCAAAGGAAAAGGAAAACCAGAAAACTTTTCTATTTAAGTAGTTAGTAACTTTGCTTATAATGATAAGCTCTGCGAAGAATTTAAACTCAAAATATTCTTAAATGAAATACAAATCATGGTTATCCCTATTTCAAAGTTTCCTTTTCCAAATCCTAACATTTTCTTTTAGTAGTGTAGTAGAAACTTAGTCTCAATCACATAGTACCTTAATAATAATTGATTATTGGATATTTACCTGCATTCCTTGTAATGTCTTCGAAAAGGATATTTGTACTTGTGGGCGTGTAGCTCTCTAAAGATGCCTTGCTGTTATCGCTTATATTCGCTATGAGCAACACACAACACACTAATAGTTTCATTTTGAAATTCACTATAAACTCAATTTGCGATCCTGAATGCGTAGTTTTATTTCAGAATTTTCAATACATCGTATTTACTACGTACGGCAGTACGGCACCGAGGCGTAATGGGTGCGCTTATAACGGCCTTTCGAATGCAACTGACTGATCTGATCTCGGACAAGAGAGCAACTGAGCAGGCAGGCACCTTAAGTTACAGTCGTTGTCTTTCGAATTCTCAATGAAAAATATGTTTATTTTTATGTAAAAAGTGAAATAATAACATAAGCGCAGAAACTCTGTGAAAATAGAATTCAATTTTTTTCGTAATAATAGTAAAAATAGTAATGAACTAGGATTGCAAAATTTGAGGATCGTAAACTTTAGACAAGGTCGACCTTGTGACTATAGGTTAGTTCGCGAACTCTGAAGGCCAAACCAAACCTGTCCGTTATAATACATATATAGGTACTTAACAAAAAAGTTTAAGCAACATTTTGTACGATTTTGAACTTTTGTACTATATTATATATATACAAGATGTTGCTTTTGTTTCATCATTTACAGAAACTGTAAATGTTTTATTAATTGATGTTTTTTTTTTCTTAGCAAAGTAGATTGGTAAGTATATATTTTTTTGTTGTCTCTTTGTGTTTCATATATAATATCGTACAAGAGTTCAAAATCGTACAACATGTTGCTTAGACTTTTATATACTATACTTTTCGTAGTTCAACAATGAGAATTCAGAATCACCCTACAGATCCAAATAAAATAAAGTCGTTGTTAATATCTATGAAAGGCTTTATATTAGGGTGCATTTATATCTTAATATCCCGATTTTTTTTTAGTCATCTAAAGCTCTTCGTCCCTCCATCACGGCCAAGGCTAAACTATACCTTCCCACAGACATAGATAGTATGTCTGTGACCTTCCCCATGAATAGTACTGAAATTTTGACATACTTTAGTATATTTTAATAATTCCCTGATACATTAGAAATGTTAAGACAGTGAGATGATATACATAGTACCCAATGATCTGCGTCAGTCAGCATACGGTGACATCGACCGCAAACTCACTTCCACTTTTACTCACGTCAAGGGAAAGTGTTTTTCGTTTTATTCATTCTTGGTAGTTTGTAATGTAAGTTTAATCATAATCAAAATCATTTATTCAGTTTAGGCTGTTACAAGCACATATGAATGTCTAAAAGCTACGCCATCGCTTCGTAAATCTACGGTGGGAGACCTTGTACTGAGAAGAACCGGCAAGAAACTCAGCAAGGACTGTTTTTTTCTCCCTGTTTTATCATTTACAGAGTCGTCAAGTTGAAAAATTACTTCAGAGATGATTCATACAGTCATCTTTCATTACATAATGTGAAATTATACATTAATTCTAAAGAAAATATAATTAGAAAAAAATTCACGCGGACCAGGCAGCAGGTGGGACAGTTATATTTTCTTTAGATTTAAACATGAAGCATTTACACGCTTTAAAAAAATATAATTATACATTAATTGTTCACCTGCATTTTGATTACTGTGTCACACAGTATAAATACAGTTTGTTTGAGTTTGATTTAGTACATACCATTATTTGTAATTAGAAATACCTACTTACTACTACGATTTAAATTGTCTTATTAAACGTCGATTTATAAAATATCTGTGAAACAATTTTTCACTTTTTTGGCTTTCTAGTTTTGGAAACTGGAAATTTTGATTTTTCTCCACATCTGCATAGAGAAGTACTCGTAGGTAGCTTTTGAACAACTGATTTACAGAAATAATCAGGTATTTATTGTATGCCAGACAGGTGTGCAAGTATGAGGCTAATACTGATCGAGCCACACCAAGCGCTGCATTCCAGCCTAGATCTCAAATAATTGATTGGATGTTGTTTCAGTTATCAACAAAAATACTGCTATGTTTATACAGCGACTAACACACAGTAGGGGCAGGGTCACAGCGACCCTCACGATTTAGAAACATATTCATAACAAAGTGTGATCATAAACGAGTTCTTAGAGTACTAGCGGATTTCCACAGTTTGCATTATTCAAAAATATTCCAAAACCATGATTTGATGTATATATTAAAACATCCATACTTACTAATATTACAAATGCGAAGTGTGTCTGTCTGTCTGCCTTGTCTTTTACCTCTTCACGCTACCGCTGAACCGATAAGTTTAAATTTGGCGTAGAGATAGATATCCCCAGGACATAGGATAGTCTTTATCCTAGAATTCACCCTATAAGGGGATAAAAAGGTGGGTGGAAGTTTGTTTGCGAAACCAATTTTTCCATGCAGACAAAGTCGCGAGCATCCATTTATATCTACATAAGATAAACACAGCAGCATGTCGCAAGGTCATTTCATATGTATATTATAACATTGGACTTAGAATGTTAGATATTAGATCGATGATGGGGAATGGTAATAAGCATGATAACAACTTTTTTTCTTCGTCCATCAGCTAGATTATCAAAAAGCATTGGACACGTATTTTTTATTCAGTCACATAATCAAATCGTTATACAGATATATTGATTTGATATGTCACATGGAGCTCAATGGCGCAAGTGTTTAATACGTTTGGGTGCGATCGCTGAAGTTAAACAACTTTCGCAGTGGTCGGTCATTGGATGGGTGACCAAAACTGTACTATCTCGAGCTCCTCCGTGCTTCGGAAGGCACGTTGAGCCGTTGGTCTCGGCTGCATCTGCAGTCGTTAGCACCCACCAATCCGCACTGGGCTCGCGTGGTGGGTCACGGCCCAAACTCTCTATTCCATCCATAGAAAAGGCCTGTGCCCCAGCAGTGGGGACATTAATGGGCTGATGATGATGATGATGATGATGTCACATGACGTCACGTCTTGGTACCATTTTTATATAGAAGTGTCGTCACGAGCTCCCACTCTCATACTTTGACATGCTTATTATTTGTAATTTTTTGCTTAATTGGCCATAGAAAAAAATATTTGTTATTTTTTTATAATATTATCTGACGGACAATAGAATTTCGTTTACTTAGCCAGTCATCACTGCTTTTAAGCCCGCATTGGAAACAAAGTCATTTTTGTGTCCAATTCGGGACAACCCACAACAATTAGTTAGTCTTAACTTGTTCTATAGAAACTAAATAACGTCTTTATTTACTACATAAACAACCTTTAAAAATGTAAACCTTGAAAATCAGTAAAATCAATGCCTCTACTGGGATTGGAACCCAGGACTATTGGAGAAAAAGGTAGGAGCGCGCCCGTCGCACAAACCGGTTCTCTATAAAAATATAAGCAATCAACAATTCGAATTGCTTTTAATTACACCCAATACGAACAATGGTAGTATTTACATGAAAAAAAATAACAGACTTGGTATCGAACCTGAAACTTCAGATATGGCGACGATGACGTCACACCCCAGAGTACTCATACTCAGACTTTAGGTTATAGATGATTTGGATGTGAAACTTTGATTACGTCGCTATAAATGTTTTCGTTCATTTTTAGCATGTTGCATGACAATTTTATTTACTATTTAAAAATTGTGACCTAAACAACAAGCATCAGTGGTTGGGTGGTAAAAAGCTCGCCTGCTATGCGGGCGGGTTACTGAACCCGCCCGCGTAGCAGGCGAATCGTCCCAGTCGTAGAAAAACTTTTTTTTATTAATGACTTTAAAAGTTTTACTCGCATCATAAAAAAACGGCAATTTTTATTTTAAGTTAGGTATAGTAACGCTAATGAAATAATTTAAAGAGAGGCAGTATGGTAAGCCAGTAATTACTTTATTTTGTTTAGTTTAGTAAAATCACCATTAAAGTTTGCTGATTTTCTGGGCCTCTATGCGAAATCGTTTAAATTAAATCCTACAAAAAAGACACAACTTTACGTTTAATTATAATTATACTATATTAAGCTAAATTTTCTAATCGAGAATAATACCTAACGCAATACAAACAATCATTTCTAAACTTTGACAACAGTCACAAATTTGAACATAGCTTGCAGAGTAGTCGCGAAAGTGGATATATTGACCGGTATTATATCCGCTGCCAACAACTCCACTGGCTTCTGTGCCTGTCTCAGCATAAAGTAAACGGCTTTCTTCTCATTAGTTTCGAAGTTCTCCCATCCGCAAGCGTACACGGACGTCTCGAACAGCTGCGCGGCGTTAGTCAACCTCTGACACAGGAAACAGTAAAGGAAAAACACGATAAAGCAGTACATGAGAATAGGAAAAAAGTCTATCCACTCTCGCAAAGGTAAATAGAAAAACAACGACATACACACGGCATTTGATCCAAAGTTGACACCGATCGGCACGCTGTACAATACCTTACATTTATTTATGATACTGAGGATCATAGCGTGTCTTCTTATTAAAACTGGTAGTATATCTTTCACTACGGGATTGTTGAAGAACATCGATTTGTCATAATCATTCAATGCCATGATTTCGTCTGAGAGGATCTGATATAAGAGAGATGTGTGACCAATCACGAATATGAGGAGAGCTTGAAAGTTAAGTACTACAATCATAACAGTGACCTCTTGACCGAACAGCATTGCCTTACAGATCTCTCGTTTCGGTGACGTCAAAGATCCCATGCCTGCAAAAGTAAGGCATAATTTTAATACTCTCGTCTTCATAATAGAATCGAATAAGAACCGTGTCGTGTCAGCCAATACAATGAAAGAGGAGCTCGATGGCGCAAGTGGTTAGCGCTTTCGGCTGCGATTTCGCAGTGATGGATGTTTGACCATAAATTTACTATCTCGAGCTCCTCCATGCTTTGGAAGGCAAAATTAGCTTTTAGCCCCGGCTGCATATGCAGTCGTTAGCACCCACCAATCCGCACTGGGCTCACATGGTGAATCGTGACCTAACCTCCCTATTCCATCCATAGGGAAGGCCTGTACCTCAGCAATGGTGGCAATGATAGTCCGATGATAATGAAGCGTACAATAGTATAAGTCAAGAATATAATCAGTCCCAGTCTTAATATATTTTAAATGTTAATCTGTATACTTAAAAAAAATTAATTGCCGAAAAGTATAAACCTATACAAAGAGTATTTACGAGATGCAAATAATACCGAGAGATATGCAGCTAATGGTGGTCGATTGACTATTCCACCCTTAGAGTATCTATAACGATAGACCCCATTACAGGCATTTCCCCTCTGTCAAAAGGTACAAGACCATTGATCTAGTGCGTTTATAAAAACTACATTATTATGTAGATACATATGTAGTTCACGCACGACCTCTTCAATATTAGAGCTCTCACAAAAATGGAAAGTGATGTTGTTTCCTCGTATCAAAACTGATTCGCCCCTTCAATACTGCTGAAACATGGTGTTTCCTATTATATACAAGAACATTTAATTACTATATATTTGTTTGTGTTATTTGCTTTATTTAGTGTGCGTTCATAGCAACAAAACGCTTGTGTTTGAGGGGTATTGCATATTTTCTTTAGTGTGCTATGCGAGTGTACCTCGTCCTCCGCCAGAATTGACAGAAACATTTGTATGGAATGAAGTGCTTAGGGCTACTCCCGTTTAATAGATGTTTAAAAGATACATATTATCAAAGGTCTAAAATACATACGACCTTTGATAGTTGAATCCCAACCTACTATCCTTCCTACTGATATTAAAAACGCGAAAGTTTCTGTGGATATTTTATACTCTATTACACTAAAACGGCCAAACAGATTTTAATAAAATTTAGGTTCCTCTGAGATTCTAAAAAACCAATACTACTTACTAGTATGGTATAAAACTATTTAGTTCTAAGAAATAAATTCTCACCATAACAAGGCGTCACACCATAAATATTCACATCAACGTTGGACCGAGACGGAAGATATACGCAACTTGCGTTAGTGAGGTTAACAAAATAGAAGATCAGAATTATATACTTTATTCTGTTGCATAACTTCTTGTGCTTCAAACAAGATGCTGGATTACAACGAGCAAGCTTATCGCTGTTTTGCATCTCTGTCAAAGTCGACCGTAACAAAGACCTGAAACACTTATTCAAATTAGTACCTATGAAGCTGCACACATCTTTGAAGTAAAGTGGAATATAAAACCTTCAGTATGATCTGCAGAGATAAAGTAAACAGTGGCTCACATTTTGCTGAAATGCCTAATGCCGTTATTAGGAAGTTGTCCTACCGCCTGCGAGGAAGCGACTTACTATAGGCTATTTCGTCGCTCAAAAACGTACAATAGATATACATTCCGAAGTAAACAAATGAGATGCATGGTGGAGAGAGACTCGCCCGGCAATGTGAACAGTCAGCGATTAAATATGCATTTCTTTTGTTTACACGGATTGTATATCTGTTAAGTGTCTCACAGACAGACACGGTCACACTAGCGACAACAGTCACAAATTTCTTGATCGAGTAAATAGCCGATAGTTAGCCGCTTCCTCGCCGGCAGTGGGACAACTGCCCTAGGATGAGCAGTGAATATTCAAAAAGGCAGGTAGAAATTGAGTAAATCTACTTCCTAGCAGAACTATGGGTTATGAGAACTGTCCGAGTTAGCGAACATAATAATTTGTTAACTTGTGACATTATAAAGATTATAATGTCACAATTAAAATGTGAAAATTAATGTCATAATTATTATTTTACATTTATGCGTGCAATCGTACCAACCCAGTGACAGAAAATTAACAAGTGTTTTTTTTTAAGTTGGCATTGATCGAAATGTTTTATTTATATGTTATCGTAAGTAAAGATTACTTATTTTGACCAAGTTATATAGCTACGAAACTTCGATGACAACATACCTCTTCATCATAAAAAAGTGACTATTGTTCGCGATCAAAACAAGCAAAGCCACGTTAACGAAACTCTTGATGAAATCTCCAGCCGATTTGGCAGTCTTCGCCTGGTATTCAAAGCTGCCGACACCGTAAATGTAGGTCAACAGACTAAGGTGGAATATAAAGAAAGGAACTGCAAAACACAGTGAAATAAAAATATTGATATCATTCCTCATCATCATCCTATATTCATTGTTACTACTTACAATTACTATGTAGGTAATTATGAAGGAGTGAATCCCTACGGGTGGAATAGGGAACGGTCAATAATCATCCAAATAAAAATATTATTGTTTTGAAGGGTTTAGAAGATTGAAAACCAATAAAATATTGGCAATAAGGCACCTCGCACACTAGACGGCCACGACCATGACCAGTGGTAGTAACGACCAGATTAACCAGAGTTGGCCGTTGCAGCCAGGTGCGCGACGTTTGTGCGGTTTCTTTAGTTTTAATCTGGTCGTTGCGGCCACTAGTTGTGGTCGTGGCCGTTAATTACGCGAGGTTAATCAGCGCTGTACGTTCGCCCGTCCATCTGTTTATCTGACAGCGACCTGTAGTGGTATTCTGTAAGAACAAACGCACTTTTAACCGCGGAATTCGTCGATGTTATTTGAACGGATTCTGAGGTGAAAACGTGAGTTTGTTCTTACAGAATAGCACTAGTAGGCGGTATGGACCGTTAATATATCGTAAGTTCAAGTAAGTTGAACATAGAATAACTACAAATAATGAAAAATATATTTGAAACTGTTATATGCAAGTCCGACATGCACTTACCGGACAAGTGCTGTCTTAAGGTGCCTTTCGACAGCCTGTGATGTCGCGTTTAGCAATCTCTATACACGATACGTGGTGAATAGAAATCTCGTACACTTTGTAATGGTATATTGAAGCTGTACTTACCGAGTCGATTCTTTGTGGACTGGACATTTATTTACTTTCTGTTAAAAATTGTTTTGGTTTGTGTACATGACACAAACAGTCAACATGATTCAAATGCCACAACAAAGTGTATAAGATTTCTATTTCCCTCGTACGCAACTTGCGTTAGTGTATATAATATAACTACATGTATAGAGACTGCTAAATCTCGAACGTTATAGTTCTCAAAAGTTTGGCAACCCTGCGCGGACAGACCGCGCCCGTGACTACACAGGCCGTCGGATGGCACCTTTAGGTGAAAACTAATATTTTTTGTGAATTTTATTTATTGCTTTGGAGTTTTATTAGCCCAAAGTTATTTATTACAAACAAGACTTTGACTTGACGAATTATTGTACTCATTTAAACATTTTCTTTAGGAAAGAAAGCCACGAAATTAGAGAACAGCCAATAACTCGTTAGTCGTGATAGTTTGCAATTAATAGCGCAATTATTACATACCAATAAGGACTATAGTCGTAAGATAAATGTATATATTACTGTTAATACCCGAACTATGGTAAATCCTAGGATTTTTCAGTAAAACCTAACACGTACTGAAAACTTAAAATAAATCCTTACATTTACCACTCATGTTGGTAAATCCTAAGAATTTATTTATTTATTTATGAAGCATCACCAGTGAATGATACAAAGATAAGGGAAAATCAAACACAATTTCACAAATCAAGAAACAGTGTACATTCTATTTAAGGCGACCACAACATACAATATATGAGCAGACATGATTTTTTTAAATTACATTGATTCATCTTAATTGATTAAAACTTAGTAAAAATTCAAACTATATAAATTGAATTTTCAGAAATGTACTAAACATAACATTGAATTAATTAAATTGGAATACATTTAATTTATTGATTTACTGGTAAGACCTAAGATTTACCAATATACGAACTTTTACAATATCATATACACTAACTATATTTAACTAATAATGTCAATCGATGAATCAATGTAATGAAAATCTTGACTGTTACAAAATCACATATAAACAAACCAAAAATTTTATCTTTGCGCAATGAGAAACCAGCTAAGCTTGGTACAGTATCCACAATGCCGAGGAGACTGTCAAAACTGTCCTCTCTGAACCGAGTTACAATCCTACGAAATACACCACCAATGGATGTCAAAATATCCATCTTTGTTACACGGAACAATACACAAGAATGAAGAAAATAACCGTAGGAAATTATAGAAAAGAATCTTTAATTGCTCTTATAATTGTAGCTTTTATAAAAGTGAGATGCTATTATAGACTTTGACTCGTATCGTGGTGTTACCTGAAATATTTATCGCGCAAAAATTTAAAACACCGGCAAGCGTGAATTGTGGTTGCCCACCGAGGGTTGCGTACAAATTTCTATTTACGCAACATAAACGGCGTTATATTTGTTATTTAACTCAGAAGTTTGATTTTTTCACAGCTTCTAATAACCGTTGATTTAGGTTTAATTTTTAACTCGATGTATTCCCGAGGTCATGAGTCATGACAGATAGACATACGGCCGGATAGACGGATAACAAAGTGATCATGTAAGGGTTCCGTTTTTTTCTTTTGAGGTAAGGAACCCTACAAAGTTATGAAATATGAACCCTGAAAACAATTACTTCCCCCCGTCGTGTAAAAACAATACCTCAACCAAATTAGTAAATCCAGACTTTCTCAAGTGATTTTACGTCACACTCAGCATTTTATTTTTAAAATATGTAAGAACTTTACGCGGAATTATTTACCTTAGGTCCACTTGTAGCAATTTTGCTGAATCTCAATTTAACTAAAACGAGATTATACAATAATGTCAAACTGACATTGACGTTTTGACAACCCATAGAAAAATGACAAGAATAATGAACAAAAATTTTAGGGTTCTCAAAAAAAATCTTACCTAAAAATCTTGGCCTGAAAATTACGAACACAACAGTCTAGCCTGACTGAAGTAATGCGTCGCACTCGGCATTTTATTTTCACCCGACCACTGCATATCATAGTCCACTTATGGTCCACGCATGGTCTACTCACCATCTGCGCGTGGTCTTAGCGCCAGCTTGCGAACAAGCTGACCAGGAGAGGACGTAGTGAGCGCATGTTCGGAAAAGTCCATTTACAGTTCGGAGCATCTGGCGCCGGGAGATGAGAAGTGGCCTTAAAATTTATATCCTACTTAATATTAGGTATAAATCTAAGGTTGTGTGTTTAGTAGTTCTTTGGTGATTGAGTTACAAACATACAAACTTTCACATTTACAATATTAGTAGTATTAATTCTTTCATTCTCACTGGATTTTTTTTAAACAAACTCCCTACTCAAAATCTTACAATATTTAGGAGTTTCTTTTTTTGCTAATTTGTTCTTCTTTGCTTGGGAAAGGCAAAATCAAAACCTTGCAGTCAAATGTCAAATTTTTTGGAATATGGATGCGTCGCATACGCATGTTCCTTATGTTCCTTGGGGTGTTTAGCACGAAATTTATCGATTCAACTTTCTCGATAAGCTTCTGTGAACAAAAAAGTTCTCGCGTTTGTTGATATTTTTATAGATACCATAATTTTTCAGTTTCGCATACGTTTGTAAGCCAAAATCAACCACGTTTATTTCACAACATCCACTATGGATGAAACTAGAACAACTAAATTTTGACGCCAGCTGCACACGTAAAATGCGTCAATAACCAATAGAAAAGTTTGCTTTCCACATTTGATGTTCGCAATAACGCTAGCTTAGAAAGTTATTTAGATGGTTTCGATTAGGCTAATTTGTGTGCATCCCCAGAACACATTTATATCAAGAAGGTTGCGACACAGTCAAAAAAATAAGTACAGCCGTCTGTAATCTATGCAACCTATCATTTTAATCACAGATTTTAGCTCACATTAACTTTTTAATTCCATCAAGATTACAGGTTTCGCCGTACTGTAATTACAGAAATTCTGATTAAATACTGTCTAGAGTCGATTTAGCTACACTTTTTAAACACCGATAAATTCATTGTTAGCTGTCAGTAAGAAGAACAATTACAAACAAAACGAAAAACCAGCTCTAAAAACTACCTGGTCTATTTGTGACCATGGTGCACAATTATACGAGAAAGTATGAACGAGTCATGTAGTTCGTCATACAAGTTGATTGGCGTTATGTTTCCTTTTCCGGGATCGTTTCACGTACGCAAGACTGAGATAACAATCTTGATATTAATCGAACTGTACCCCTAGCACGAACCATTATCGAATTCCAATAGTTTGCAAACCGAAAAGTCAATGTCAAATTTTGTATGGAAACTTGAACAGCAGCGGCACAAAGTACGTAACGAGAACTAAAAATCAGTACACATTTGACAATAACATTTCGGACTCGGAAACGATACGAATTTGATATTGATTCGTGCTAAGGGCACTGTACTTCTAGCACGAACCATTATCGAATTCGAATATTTTGCAAACCGAAATGTCAATGACATATTTTGTATGGAAACTTGAACAGCAGCGGCACAAAGTACGTAACGAGAACTAAAAATTAGTACACATTTGACAATGACATTTCGGACTCGCTAACGATACTAATTCGATATTGATTCGTGTTAAGGGTACTGCTGATAACTTAATCGTATACCGTATTAGAAACGAATCGGAACTTCCACCCTTTTCGATGTGTATGATTTTTATCGTCCTTATCAAAATAACAAGTTGTAAAGTGTAAAAGAGAAAATAATATATGAGATACACTTTTTTATTATTGTACTAAATCAACTTAGTGATATAAATACTAAAATTGTAACTTCCACTGAGTTTATAGATATTGCAGAAAAATTAATAGCAAGTAATAATATTTCTTTTCACCGCAAAGATATTTAAACAGATTACATGTTTATTAATATTTTTACTTTAAGTAAGTACGAACGTTTCTACGAAATTTTCTGTGTTCTGTTTTTAAGATTTTGTTTCAGTTTTTTTATCATCTTTTAATTAAAATTATTTAATCAAAAAAATTAAGAAACACGACTAGGACGGAATATAAGTATATTTTTAGTGCAATTGGAGGTTTATTATGTACATTTTGTGCTTACAAAACATAACCTGCATTTCAAATGCAACACAACACAAATCTATTGTCACCTTTAAATCGTCTAGATATAATTTTATTAATTAACACAACCATGATCTATAATTTTAACACGTAAAATTACAGTTACCTACCATTTGCAAAGAAACCTGTCATTAGAGTAAAAACAAAAAGTTTTGACTATAATTACACAGAAATAAAATATCTGTGGTATAATTAAACACTTAATGCAGAGCACCATAGGGTGCAATACTATAACACTAAGATTTAAATCGAAAAATAGCATGATTGTAGTTTCAAATCCATGTTACCGGGCCTTACGTTATTGGCTGCTATTCGTTATAGAAAAGTATGGAAATCCATACTAATATTATAAATTCGAAAGTGTGTCTGTTTGTCTATCTATATGTCTGTCACCTCCTCATGCTTAAACTGCTGAACTGGTTTAAATGAAATTTGCTTTAAAGATAGTTTGAGTCCCGGGAAAGAACATTAGATAGTTTTTATTCTAGAAAAAAACCTTTAGGTGGGTGAAAAGGAAGGTGGAAGTTTGTATGGGAAACCGATTTTTCCATGCAGATGAAATCGCGAGCACCTACTAGTAGGTAATATATCTTGTAAAACTTAGTTAAATAATTAACTTGGAATTTAGAATTTACTATTAATTTTAAAGAAAAACTTAAATTCTTACAACTTACAGTAAAAAAAAAATTTATAGAAATAAATGGGATAGAGTCATTTGCCTACATGGCTTTTTAAAAAAAAACTGTAAGCAAGAGCGTTGCATTAATATTTTCATCACATTCGGTTCAGTAAGGAAAACAAAAGTATGGGAAGTTTATATTTGTAAAGTAGGTAAACAAATTTGACTCCAGATTTTATTTCATTTGTCATTTTTTTTTTCTTTAGCTTTTATTTTATAAAAGAACTGTTTTTATTTATAGGGTTACACACTTCAAAAGGAAAAACAGAATCCTTTAAGCATCACTTCCTTCGGTCCGTCTGTCTAAAAATTAATTAGGTCGTTCATGTTGCGTACCTACAAAATTATACGGAAGCCTCGGCAGCTTAATCCGACTAGCACTTGTCCGCTTTTTTTAATTAATTTGAATCCCTTTCATTTAATAACCATATAAAAGGGTTTAATGTAAATAATATATCTACATTACAGTTGCTGAAAACATAATAAATTGCATGATTTGAACCATAATTTGGCCCAATCTTGAATAATACAGTTGGTAAACAGAATGTTTAAGGTTTTACCAAATTCTACTTCTTTCTCCTGTGATTTTGTTCGTCATCTTATCAGCCTTATAAGATAATAAAGTGTCAATAGGCAGCGGTACAGGCCTTCCTTATAAAAACGTGTAGAATCACATAGGGAGAATTATTATTTATAGCTGACGAAACATACAAAGTATGTTTTCCGAGTCACCAAAAAATTTTTACACTTGTTATTAGATAAATGAGGAGCTCAGTGGCACAAGTGGTTAGTGCGTTCAGCTGCGATCGTTGAAGTTCAGCAACTTTAGCAGTGGTCGGTCATTGGATGGGTGACCAAAAATTTACTATCTCGAGCTCCTCCGTGCTTCGGAAGGCACGTTAATCCGTTGGTATCAGCTGCATCTGCAGTCGTTAGCACCCGCCAAAGGCCCGCGTGGTGGGTCATGGCCCAAACTCCCTTTTCCATCCATAAGGAAAGGCCTGTACCCCAGCAATGGGGACAGTAATAGGCTGATGTTGATTAGTTAAATATAGGAGGTAGGCCACAGCGAATTTTACGCTCGAATTGGAGCACCCGTCTGGGGAAGCAACCTCCACCTTATAGAATACAACAGTAAAATAACACTACCTTTTGGTGGTGTTGTTGTCCTGGTAAGTGGGAATCCGCGGGGTAGGGCTTACACTTACCATCTTGTGGAGTGGGGTAATTTGTTGACCATAATATAAAAAAAAATCATACATGCTAAATCAAAACTATAATAATCAAAATATTAGTGTTTCCCTGCAATAATGTTTCCCATGGCGAATGTCAAGTAAAATAACTCTGCGTGTCACAAGCTGAGTATAATATAGGTAAGT